ATTTGAATTTTTTGTCATCTGCTTTTTGGATAGGAGAAATAACTGTTTCATTCATATGTAGATTTGGGCGCATAATTGTAATTAGAATTCCATTATATTCTTCCTTGCACTCAAGTGCTGGTTTTCTCTCTCTCAATGACACTACCTTTCAAATGGCTTTGGAATTGTCCATTTGTGATTTTGAAATATAGAGAGTATTCAGAGCAGTTGACCAAACAAGCTGTATTGTCCAGTTTGGGCAGAGGGGTTGGACTCAGAGAATGGTCACAACACTTATAAGCCATTAATTGCTTATAAGTCCATTTAATAAACCCCTATTTTCCCATAAACTCTTGTAGCCACCCAGGAAAAAAAATCTCCTGGTAGACAAACTGTCTTCTCATCCAACACGAAAGAACTCAAAGGACCGATAATGACTTTTTAGCCTCTTTTCAGGCCACATCTTGCACAAAAGAGTTGGCTCCCTTTACTTTCTAAAGAGATTTCAGAAGAGGTCAGAGCCAAGTGAGTTGAGCTTGGACATTCGTCATGAGTTAGGATGACCAAAGCTTCTCTCTCTCGGAGCCACTTAGGAGCTTGATTTCTTCCTGAAGCTTTCTGAAGCAGCCTCCAGATTTCCTGAACTCTGACCTCCTCCTTAAATGACTGCCACAAGCAGTTGCATCTCTGACCAGAGTCTAGCTTGCTGCAGGATAACCCCTGTCCCAGGCCCCTGCCCTAAACAGCCTCCACAGTTCCTAACTAATGATTTACATTTACCAACTCCTGGCCATGCCCTGGGCTGGCAGTCAGACTCCCAGGCTGGGGTCCAACAGATACCTTGCTTCTTCATAGTTCTGCCACTGCAGCCTCGGCTGACAGGACTCCAAACTCTCTGTAGATCTCTTTGCCAAAGAAGGCTTTGGCTTAATCCAGCCTGGCATTGTTTATGCTTATATAATGACCATGAACGTGTTTGCTTTCTCCATGCCCTAAGAAAAATCTGGCCCACAGTTGCCACAGCTGACCCAGGTCTGAGCACCTGGGCTGGCTGAGACTTCAGATCACCATGTGGTTTAAATGCTTCTGCTGGGTCATCCAGTGAGCTTGTCATATGCTAGTCACTCATTTTGAATCAAAAAGAGAAAAAGTTTTCTGAACTTTTCAGACAAATGCCAGCAGCGGCTTTTGTCTTTCTGTGTCATTTAATTTTTAAATGCACTTGTTAATTTTTGACTACACTAGAATTATAGCTGGAGTCTTATTACTTCCAAAAGACCTGTCCTTTTTGGACGATAGCTTCTAATTATATTTTAGATGTACAGTGAAGAGAATTGCATCTTCTCTGGTTTTTTTTTTTGCAATTACTTTCAAAAGGGAGCTGTGAGCCTGACCTCGCTAACAGAGGTAATAGATGGAGGCTGAGTCTCCCTGGAGTCCATTCTGTGTGCAAAGCCAAGAACTAGTTTCATTCTGTTTCAACTTTGAGTTGTCTATAACCCTGATGGAGCTCTTGGGGTACTATGCCATGTCTCAGCTGTTGACAGTGTTGGTGAACCACCCTGAACATGCCTGATCTTTTCTGAAATGATGCTGGTATGATGTTTCCAGATGAAGTAGAGTATTGGTAGAATGATTGTGGATGTAGAGGGGACATTTCTGTGTGTGAGTTTGCCCGTAGGACTGGTGGGTTGAAGCATTCACATTTCAGGTGAGAATTTTGGAAAAGTAGAAATGAGCCAGTAGGAAAAAGTTTCCTTGGGAGAAGGGTTAATATTACATAGAGGAAGAACAAATTAAAGGGAGTAAAAGGCAAAGCATAATAAAGAAAAATAACTCACATTTCATGAGTATTGACCCTAGCATTGAGATATTCTGTGCTGAGTGGTTAGCATGGAGTATCTCATTTAATACTGAAATGTAAGAACTATATTTCCATTTAGCACAGAAATATAAAGCAAGTTGTCAGTGGTCTCTCAGTTGGTAAGAGGCAGGGTGGGAGTCAAAACCCATATTATTAGTCATACAACACTATGGGAGGGTTGGCCAATTGACAACCCAGGTCTAATTCAACCATTACTAAGCACGTAATCACAAATGTCTAAAGTTGGAAGAAATTTGGGAGAACAACTTGTTCAACTTCTTTACTACACAGATGAGAAAAAAGACTCAAAGAGGGAAAATGATAATACTTTGTCAAGAAAATGGTTTTATTAGAGTTGAACTCAGACCAATATCCTAGTTGCCTGAATTCTTATTGGATGGTTTGGCGATAACTGGCTCCAGAAGTTTATAGCTATTGAACTTATTGTTGTTCAACTCCCTTCCCCCTTTCCTTGGGATAAACTTTTACTGCCAAGCAATATTTCTCAGATTGGCTTGAATAGCTTGCTTGTGTCTGAGAGGTGTGCATCATGTTTATCTCTAAGATAACAAGAAAGTAGAAACTGGGACTTGAATTTGACTCTTTATTATCCAGTGAAATGAAATTGCTGTCTCATCCCCTCAGTCTACTGTTTTAAAACTTCTCTTTCCCAGATCACCTATGGTTTCACAATTACTAAACTCAAAGAGCCCTTTTCTAGCCTTAATTTAGTCATGGTGCTTGATACTATTTGCCATTACCTGTCTCACAAAATTCTCTCAAAATGTTCCTTCACTCACTCTTTCTATTCCTCTTCATTCTTCCTCATGAGATGTTTGTTTTCTGCCTATTCCTGAAATTTCATTATTCTATAGAATTCTGATCTCACCCCTCTTCTCTTTTTATAAGTTATTCTCAAGTCACCTTTAATTGAATTGACATTCCTTTCAAGATCTTAATAAATGTTCCCCCATATCTTTTCATTTTACCACCCTACTACGTCTTCAGAATTCTTGGACAGTCAGAGGGGGAATAGAGGGATAAAACTGAAGTTGAATCTCTACATTCAGGAGCAAGGTGAAAAAAAACCAAAAAAACAAATGAGAAATCAAGTCCAGTAGGGTCACTTGCTTTTATGATGAAAATCAAGTAAAATCTACCTAGCATGTTTGGGATTAACAGAATTTAGAAAGACACTAATCTGAGATAATCTGGGAAAGATATTGAGGAAGTGAAATTTGTTTACCATGTGAAGCAGGGAATAATGAACTTAATGTTTAGCTAGTTAAAAATAGTGTAATTTTGTGATCTATAACTTGAAGGAAGGATCTAGAAAGGACTGGGTTCCAGTAGTAATTGGGGAGTTATTTATTTCAAAATCTATGACTCTGGTACAGCCCCCAGCTGATGTGGCTTGTTAACAAATCAGTCTCACTTTCAAAACTCTTTGACTAATACATTTGATTTGCAGTTTGCCCGAATCACAAGAAATAAATGAGTACTTAATTTTACCTTTCTTTTAATGACTTCCTAATGTTCTTCAAGCATCCCAACAGCAACTATGAAAGAGACTGGCTCTTGTTACAATTAATTGACCCCCCATGAGGTTCTTCCATAAGGGTGGAGCCCAGGTGGTAGGTGTTATGAATACAAACAGCAACCAGGTCACATCTTAGTGCTTCATCTGAGACTTCTACAGTTGACTGAATTGATCCATCAAACCCCCAGAAATGCTAAGGTGAGATGTCCACAAAGTCCTTCAAGTTCACTTTTTTTTAATTTAACTGAAGAAAAGTTGCTAATTTTCTAACATACGAATATTGCGGAAAACAAGATTTAAAATTCAATTAACCATAACATTAGGTATCAATTTGAAGTAATTTTAGGTTCATCTGAAACATGTCAGTAGCAAAAATATTGGTGAAAAAAATTAGACAAGCTTGATCCACTTCTTGCAAAGACTGTTTAACTTTTTGCTGTGTTTAAATTTCTTCTCAGCATTGATCTTTCCCGTGTAGAAGGATACTATGTCAGAAAAAGTCTAAATCTTTCTCTGTCTAGAAACTTGAGGGTAGGCAGAGAAAGAAATGGATTTCTATCTACATTTCAAGCAAATCTGAACTTAAAGAGCCAATTATCTTCCTGCCTCCTTCCCTCCCTTCCTCATTCCCTCCTTCCTTCCTTCCACAGTTACAAGTGTCCTAAATGATCAAACATTTATGAGGGAGGAACCTCATAACATTTATGAGGGAGGAACCTCAAAAAACTCAGAGTTTATTTATAAAAAATTATGTATTTATTCTTACATGCTTAAACTTCAGCCACCTTCAAAGTACTTTCCGTTTGATGCAATACTCCTAACAAGATGCTTTTTCCACTGCTCAAAATAGTTTTTGAACTTGTCAATTTTGATACCTTTTAGTTCTTCTGCCAGGTTTTGTTTCACCTCTTCCACACTGGCAAATTGTTTCCCTTTGAGTTCATTTATTATCCGGGGAAACAAACAAACAAAAAAATCACTCAGGCCAGATCTGGTGAGTAGGGAGGGTGGAACATGGGAGTCATTTTGTTTTTTGGTCAAAGACTGCTGAACACTCAGTGCATTTTGGGTGGGTGCATTCCTAAATCATTCATCATGAAAGGAGCAAATACTTGAAAGAATCTCCAAAAAAAAAAAAAAAATTCACCGAAACTGAACACAGTCTCTCACAACAATGCTAGCTGGTACACTGATGTTGATGGGGTTCCTAGAACACTTACCTAGTTGGGGAAGCCTGTATTACAAGAGGTCATCCTCTAAAAGATAATTGCGTTTTTTTTGGGGGGGGGGAGTCTCCCCTTATAGGTCTTTCTAAAACCATAAACCTAAAATTGTAGATATCAGAGAGAACTGAAGATATCTCAGCCAACACTCTGATCTTGTAGCTGAGGACAATGAGCTCCCGAGAGTGGGAAGTGGGACCGGATCTAGGTTTCCAGAGCCTTCTTCCTTGCTCCATTCTGTCTTAAAGGAGACTGAAATAGGCCAACACACATACTTCTGGAAGGATCTCTAACCAAAACCCTTCATATGCTGTTTTTTTTTTCCCTTCCTCTTCACTTCAAAGATTCTTAAAAACCAACAGAAGGAAGTCATGATTGCCTTCCCATTACTCACCAACAAACAACTGGCTGTAGAGTTCCAGGCGGGTGTGACCTTCTGTTGGGGCCTTTCGGATTTGCTGGGGCAGCCGATCCACCTGTAGACTGGCCTGTTTGACATTTCTCTCTGCAGTGACCCGGTGCCACTGGTCATCATTGAGAGGGGAGGGAGACCTCACCACAATCTCCACTGGCCCGTTTCCGACATCAAACGAAAACGACACTTCTGTGGCAGCTGGAGGAGCAGAAAGCGTGGAAGACATGAGTATTTCTCTACCAGATACCAAATAGCAGTAAATTCTAGAGGAAGGTCAAAGCAAGCAGAGAAAAATAACTTAAACCTGTCACTTGCTACAAAGGCCCATGGTAAAATCGTTTGAGGAAGGAAAAAACATCAATCTATGATCAACCACTAATAACCAAGGGGAAGAAAATAAATTTGTTTTGGGGGCCTATGTGCCAGGTATATATTTATTTTCTTACTTAATCTTTAGAAACCTTACGAGAAGTTATTATTGAACCTTTCCAGATAAGAAGACCGAGGTCTGGAGAAATAAGCACACAACAAGTATCTTAGACTTAGTGAGTTAGTGGGGTCAGAATCTGAACCCGGGTTTGTCAGATTTGAGAGCTTGAGATCTTTTGATACCACATGCAACTTATCTGTTCAGTAGCTCCTAGGGCAATGATTTGTGTTTACCTTGGAGAGCTTTTGAGACACCTGTGCCCAGAGATTCTGACTCAGTTAATCCCAAGTAGGCACTGGTATTTTCAAAAGCTCTCCAGGAAATGCCAATACATAGCTAGAGTTGAGAGCTACCGCTTTGGGGAAATTTACTAAACTTAATTTCATTAATTTTTATACTCCCCATTGAAAGTTAGGGACCTATGAATTGTTGAGGCAATGAAGGTGACCTACACCTTTTTTTTTTTTAAACCACTTGCAGTTGTCCAAAAGGTAACACATTTCTACAGAATAATCCCTTTCCCGCATCGTCTGATGTAAACCTTGGTTACTTCCCATCTGGGATGCAAGATCCTTCTCATAACCTACCCTGCAGCTCTGACCACAAATCATTTTTTTAAAAAGAGATCTCCTACAAATCAACCTTCTCCTGCAATAAATCACCTCTCAGCAATACGCAAATGAGTTAGGTGGTTGCTCTCTTAACTTTAATTGTAAGTCGCTTTCTTATTTCACGTTTTACATTTTATGGTAAGCTCCTCAGTGACCACCTAGCGCTTTATAAACATGTTTTTTTAAAATGTATATTTTTCATATGATTGGCAGCAGAGGCAGCTTCATGCTGAAGCAGTGCACACATCTTGAGGTCCCTCAGGCTCGGTGAATTCTTTTCAACATTAAAGATGTGGTACACCAGTGAATTTCCCAACTTTGCTTATAAAGATATTCAGCCCCTCTATCCATCAATAAGCCTTCTGCCTAATCTTTAAGCAGTTTAATTAAATATCTGTCATTTTTTTCCTTGGCTAATGGAAAATTCAGCTTCTTTTGGCTGGTGCCATTTTGAGACGGTGTCACAAGCAATCAAACTTCTAATTTAAAAACCACAGTGGGCCAGATTCTCTCAGGACCTAGACTGTTCCCTGTCTCTGTGTCAGGCCCCTCAGAAAGCTGCATTAACTTTATTGAGCTATAGGGGTATTAGACACAGAGCTCAATTTAATCAACCTAATTGTACCCAGGAATTTTGATCCTTCTTGCCATTAGAAAGAAAACTTTAATTTTAACACCTGTGGTGATTCCATACATGCCCCAGTAACATATCTCATCTAAATTAGGAGTCCCTGCCTCTGGGGGGTCATTGTGACTGGATTTAACTTGCAAGCCAGTGACCTCCATCAAGGTTTCTGCAGCATATGGTCAGAATACAGGTAGACGATAATGTGACCTGCAGGCTGGATAATCTTTCTCTGTAATTCTGATATAGTCGATAAGGCAAAAGTAGCTTTGGTTTAAGATGAAATCTGTTCTGTTCTCTCAGTGCTGTATTTTAGCAGAAGCATTTTTAAATATAAGTTGTCAGAACTGCAAGAGAACGAGAGTTCCTGGGCTAAGTAGGAAAGATTGTTTCATTTTAAAGGCATCAACTGCCATCAGGGAAATAGAATTTAGGGATAAATTGAGTTTAACCCTAAGGTTTGACTCACAGGGATAAATGCTGCTCTAATTTCCTCTACTATTCTCCTTCTGCTATGATGAATTCTTGCCCAGGTCTTTAAATTGTCACCATTTGGAGAAACTCTGAGTTCTAGCAGTCACTAGAAAATATCCATGCTTTTCTCTTTGCTTGTGACAACAGACCCTTTATTTCTTCTTCTGGACCATAATCGTTTTAACACCAATACTTTGTCCTAGAGAAGGAAAGAATGTTTCCAGGCCCCTGCTTCAGCTTAAAGCCTCTCAGTCCAACAGGATGCCATAAGAGGGGCTCAAGACTGAAGGCCTCCAAGAACAACTTCCTTCCTCAAAGACCCTGCATTCAGGCTCTGCTGAAGAAATATTTTACAAAGTTAGCACATCCTACTTCCTTTATGTTGCTTCCTAAGGAAGGGAGCTGCAAGGCCCCAGGGTGAGAATGAAGGAAATGACTCCTTTTTTTTTTTCAGTCACTCAATGACAGTTTCCCCGACATTGCTGCAGGATGCCTTTGAGAAATCCCATCTTCCAGTCAGACAGCCAGTGTATTTTAAAAGCTTCTAAAGTTCAGTTTGTGGCTGATTGCTCTTGGTCTTCTGGGTGAGAACAACTGACATTTTAAAAGATAATTATAAAAAGAGTCAGTGAGCGAATAAAAGGGAGGCAGCATTAAAGACACCAGAGCCAACGATACTGTCCTCACTTGATGTGTCTCCAGGTGGAGACTGAAGTGTTGCCCTGTTCCTACTTGTGGAAAAGGAATTTCTTATATACTGAAAATATCCTATTTCCAGAAGTAAGCATCTGAGAATTAGATGTATATAGAGTGGCTCATTGGAAAGAATGCTAAACCAAATATGAATGCGTTGACTTTCCTTGTAAAAACCTGGAATTTACCCCACTTGCAAACTGACATGTTAATTGGTCAAAGTCTGATGATGCTAGCAGAAGACATAAGCCTCTTGGGTCAGAGACAATGGACTTTTTTTTTCTCTCAGCATAGCAGGCAGCACGAGCTTTCCCTTGGGGAGTGTGGAGCAGCCTAGTTGTAAGTTTCCTTTGCAGCTCAAACCCTGAACTTAGGAAAACCCCAGTCTTTTAAAGTAGTTGTTAGCAAACTTACTCAATTTCTTCCTGGAGAGAGACAGTATATTTATTACCCCAGTCAAGAAATAAATCTACCCTTTGTCCTACAGGAAGACACTATCTCTGTCTTCTAAGGCTATTAGTGATACACACACCTGTAAAAAAAAAAAAGCATGAATGAAGCTGTTAATGCCTCTTGCTCAGAAGACAGGCAGAATTGGGAGAACTCTATAGAGATTTTTTTTCTCCCAACAACTAGTCACTTCACTTTTCCTTTGTGCTCTAACATGGTTTTTCCTAGGAGTCTATGTACTCCCAGAGCCTTATGCTTCAGGTAAGAATAGTCCCACCCCAGCCCTACAAGAGGAATCTGAATTTCACTAAGATAAGGAAGGTGATTCCATGCTCCTTGCCAGTAACCTGCTTAGGATGGGGCATATCACTCTCTTCTGAGCAATGAGACTTGAGTGGAATCTTTTGGTGGTCTTTTGAAAAAGGCTTCTTAACTCCTAACAGACATAAGGAAAAGATGGTCCCTTTTCTGCTCTTTAATATTGGCTAGAAGGTCATGGTTCCTAATGTTACTGGTATCATATAAACATCAAACATCCTGAGTACAGAGAAGGCCATGAGATGAGCCCGGGTCCTTGCTGACACTGTTCAATTTAAAAAATAAACCTGGAGGCATCTACCTTAGGGCATCTTATATGAGATATCCGCTATTGTTTAAGCTATTTTTACTGAAACTACAAGCATCTTAACTGATATAGACTGTAGTTTGGGAATCAGTGAGTTTTAGTTTTGGCTTTGCTTTGGTTACTGGTGTTTAAAGTGAAGATTATATCCATAGTTTCACAAGAGCTCCTGTGCCCAAAATGTGTTTGAAATTACTTAACTAGAGTTCTTCTAAGGTCCTTTCCAATAGCAACATTCTAAAATCTTCCAAGAGATTCTAAGGGAAATAAAGTACAGACAGCATAGTTAACCTTAACTGTAGTTTTAGATTCTGAATCATTACAGAGAGAAACAGATATATAAATGATAAATGCATAAGGTGACATATTGGCATTAGAAATGAATGTAGATGGCAGAAATTACTGCTGAATAAAGCTGGCTCAGGACTTCATCTGAGTGACTTAAAACAATAAACAGCCTAAAACTGAAGACCATGGACAGTTCTTGGCATGGTCACGCCCCCTTCAAGTGTAATTCCAGCAGGTGGCACTATTGGCTCTCATTTTAACATAAATTTCCTCAAAGATCACTACAGGCTTAATGTACTGAGGGATAAATTCAACAACAGACCAGCATAGCAGACTTTTTTGGCTCTGAGTTCTCCCAGCAGGTGAGGGAAGATTTAAACATTAGACCCAAAGTGTCAGTTGGAGTAGCAGAAAAAAATTGGCCACTCAATATAGAATAGGTTAAGAGAAAAGACACAGAGAAATGTACATTGTGAGCATGACACATAGATCAGTTAACACTATTGTAGTTTTGATAATGTTTTGTCTTCCATTCCAAAGTGAAGTTCAAGGAGTTCGTAGCTTCTAAAGGGCTCTTCTGCACAAAATCTCATTTGACTTATACCATGAAATGGATTGTTGTAGAACAGATGTTTCAGCCTCATTTTACAGAGGGGAGTGTTATGAACATATTTTCTTTTTACCCTTTTTTCCCTAAAGGACTGAGTGTATGTCAGAAGACAAAGGGATTTTTTTTTTTTTTGAGTTGGAGTCTCACTCTGTCGCCCAGACTGGAGTGCAGTGGCGGCTCCCAGCCACCGCAGCCTCGACCTGCTGGGCTCCGGCGATCCTTCCGCCTCAGCCTTCTGAGTAACCGGAATTACAGGCATGCGCTACCACACCCAGTTGATTTTTTGATTTATTGTAGAGATGAGGTCTCGCTGCCCAGGCGGGTCTCGAACCCGCGGGCTTAGGCAATCCACTCACCTCAGCCTCCCAAAGGCGCGGGATTACAGGCTGAGCCAC